GGGTTAGGGTTAGGTTAAGGGTTAGGTTTAGTGTTAGGGTTAGGGTTAGGGTTAGGTTAAGGGTTAGGTTTAGGGTTAGGTTAAGGGTTAGGGTTAGGTTTAGGGTTAGGTTTAGGATTAGGTTTAGGGGGGTTAGGTTTAGGTTTAGGGATTAATTTTAGGTTTAGGGTTTACAGTCTCCGTGCTGTTGTCACCCTGTTGATGACGTTAGCGACGCAGTTTAGTCGGGCGCGGTTTAGTCGAGCGCGGTTTTGTGGTGGAACCGGCCAACTTGACGTCACTCACCAGGAGATGTGCTGGATTGGGTAAAATGTGCTGAAGCTCACTTAACAACACTCTTGCTTAGCAACCAAAATTTTGGGCTCAATTATAGTCATTAAGTTAAGGACAACCTCTGCTTTCCTCTGCATGGCAGTTCTTGTCCTAGTAAACTCCTTCTCCTTTCTGGCAATTTTCCTCCCTGTTAGAGGCACCCAAATAATCCAGACGATGTAAGGTTCTCCTGCTCGAGCAGGGGGCTGGACTAGACGACCTCCAAGGCCCCTTGCAGATTCTATTCCATTCCAACTTGTAGAAGGACAGCTTTTTTTAATTCCGGCAAATAGGACCTTGTTGGAAAAACGTGCGAGGCTGCCGTGTCCTGTGTGTTAGATCACAAGAGCGAAGCCCTCCCGGCAATTAACTTCGTGGCGTGCCGGAAATTAATGAAGGCAGTTGTAGCGCTAATCCATCAACCCGGAGAAAATTACAGCTTGCCTCGTTGTCTATTTTCAACGACCGCTTGAGTGTTGCAAACGAGCTGAGCAAAAGTCAGATAGCCCATTATTTTTCAGCCGTGTGTGTTTGTGTGTGTGTGTGTGTGTGTGAAAAAATCTTCGAAATGGTGGCTGCATCGTTACAACCCAACCCCTCCAGCCTGTGCGGTTTGCCCGCATTTAAATACATTGATTTAAATGCATTTGTAAATAAATACATTGATTTATTTGTTAAATGTATGGGCTGCCCATCGCACCAGGAAAGAGATTCTGGGTGGCTTTACAAAAGGATTGCAGGCGTGATATCACACATGCAGATAGTCCTTGCTTTGCAATGGTTCATTTAGCGACCATTCCAAGTCACAATAGCTCTGGGAAAAGCGAGTTGGGGCCCTTTTTTTCGCATTTAACAACCGTTGCAGAATCCCCAGATGAACAGAACTCAGATGCTTGCTCCTTTACTGGCTCATAGTTATGACGGTGGCAGCTTCCTTGGGGGGTCGCGTGATCCCCTTTTGCGACCTCCTGAGAGTCAATGTCAGGATCAGGGACCTTGGAGGTCATCTAGTCCAGCCTTCTACTCAAGCAGGAGACCCGACACAAGTTCACACAAACGGCTGTCCGAACCTCCTCTTAAAAACCTCCAGTGTTGGAGCACCCATAACTTCTGGTGGCAAGCTGTTCCACTGGATAATTTTCCTCACTGTTGCATTAATTAGGTTTCTCCTTAATTCCAAGTTGCTTCTCTCCTTGGTTAGTTTCCATCCATGGTTTAACAGAACAGAACAGAACAGAATAACAGAGTTGGAAGTGACCTCTCCACAAACCCCACTCCATTCTAGCACTGATGGTATTACCTAGTTGGGTTATGAAATGTCTGCAAGAAAACCACCAAGCTCAGAGAGCACTAAGGATCCCTCAGTTTTCCTCCTCCTCCTCCCCCTCCTCCTCCCCCTCCTCCTCCCCCTCCTCCTCCCCCTG